GAGGTCTTCTGTGCCTGCCTCGGGCCTCCCCTCCAGGCTGCACCCCACCATCCAGCAGCAGGGGGGCACCTGGTGAGGGGAGCAAAGCAAGGGTGTACATATTCCTGACTTTTTATACCTGTAAGAAGCGGGGCAGGCGCTGGGGTTTTTTATGGTGACACAGATGTATATTTTGATAGCAATTACAGGCGCAGTATTGTAACGGGGACGGCGCCAGAGCACATTCCGTGCTGCCCGCGTAGCGCAAGAACCGAATTAAAGTGATTTTATAACAAACTTTGTATCTCTTATGTAGATCTTTCTTGCTGTTCACCTTTTAGGCGTCTGTACTTTGAATAAATTTCTTCTGTATCCTGTTCTCTGACGTCCCCCTTCTTTGGTCCTGCTTTGTCTTCACTGTCTTGGTCTCTGCCTTGGGTGCTGACAGCTGGGACAATCTCCACAACTGCCCCCAGGGGCCCGTGCTGCCCACACACTGCCCATCTGTCCCCACTACTGTGGGAGCACGGGGTGGCCACTGGGTGCAACACAGTCCAGCCGTGACCCATACAAGAGGCTTGTTCACCTTTTATTGGTTCCTGCTCGGCGCTGTCCACACCTCCCCTCCGCATGCACGCCCACACCCATCAGCATGCTGACCCCCCACTTCACTCCTTGAACCTGCGGGCGACCTGCATCTTGCGGTAGTAGCTCTCCGCCTCGGCCTCGCCCGTGGAGTCCCGCTCGCCCAGCGCCAGGCTGCCCGCTTTGCGCAGCAGCGTGGATTCCCGGCTGCCCGGGCCCAGGGCCCCATCAGCTGCACCCAGTGGGGGCAGTCCCTCACCTGTGGCCAGGTTGACGGTGGCCACAGCCCCGAAGCGGGGCTCCTCCTGGTCCATGTCGCTGACAGATGAGCCAGGCGACAAGCCAGGTGGCCGAGGCCCGCTGCGGAAGCCGCGCGCGAGGTCACCCAGCTCGTAGGAACCATCACCCTCCTGCCCCTTGGTGCCGCCTCCCGCGGCCTTCCACTCCCAGGGCCCGTTCCCTGCGGACAGGTGGACCACGGGGTGGTGCGGCGCGTGCGCGTCAATGGTGACAATGCTGGCTGAGTCCCGGTCAGAGGGCGAGCGGTACTGGGAGGAGTCGGAGCTGGCGCTGGAGGAGGACCCTGTCTCCGCCGCCTTGAGGCCTGGGCCCGCCCCACCCGGACCCTTGGACATGGCAATGACCTGCAGGAGGCGAGGCGGGTTGGCCACGCGGGGCTGCGTGGGGGCCGCAGCCCCACTCTTCTCGGCCATCATGAGCCACTTGGCACGCACCGCAGCCCCGCTCTTGGGGGACAGGCCGGCCCCTGGCTGGCCCCCCTCCTCAGGGATGTGCACCAGGGGCTGCGGGGGCGCCCGGGGCGGGAGGATGACCCGAGGCCCGAGGCCTGGGCGGGCCTGCACCGTGGGGTAGAGAGAAGGCGGCACAAGTTCTGCTTCCTCCTCCTCCTCCTCTTCCTCTTCTTCCTCGTCCTCCTCCTCGTCCTCCTCGGCCATGGACTCCGCGGGCGCCCTCAGGTGTGCAGGACTGGCCTCGTCGGGCAGCCCCAGGCCACGGCCCTCCAGGGCCTTCTGCTTCCACTCGCTGATGAGCTGCTTGGAGCGCGAGGCGTCCAGGGGCACGTGGATGGTCATGTGGCGGCGAGCAGGGTCGTCCAGCGAAGGCGTGCTGACGCGGGGCAGCGTGTTGCTGAAGGTCACCATGTTCTCTTTGCCCATGGGGCTGCGCGGGGCCAGCAGGTCCACGTCCACACTGGCTCGCTTCAGGCTGCCCAGTGAGCTCTTGTCTCGGGCCACCGGCCGCGGCGCACCCTCCAGCCGCCCCGCCGGGCCCAGCTCGTCGGAGCTGGCAGACTTGTTCTGTTGGTACACGGAGTCGTGGCCCCGCTGAGTCAGCGCTCGCAGTGCGTCCTTGGTGGGGGCTGGCGCCGCAGCCACTGCTGGCCTTTCTGCAGGTGGTGCCTGGAAGTTGCCCACCGCATGGCAGGCCTGGGGGAGACACAGGCATGAGAGGTGGGAACAGTCAGATTCTGCAGGGGGGATGTAGCCCACCCAGCCCTGAGCCAGGTCTGGGGCGCAGCTCAGCCAGAACGGAGGGGCTCTGGGGGGGGGGGGAGGTAGGACCAGGTGGTTGAGGTGAGGGCAAACGCTCCATCTCCCCTTGGAGGGAGGAGTCTCGGCCCAAGGCGGCTTTTGCCCAAGTGCACACGCGCTGTTTACCTGCTTAAGGTCTGAGCCAAAGAACCTATGGCCCCAGAATTCCAAGGGGCAGACACTGTAGACAGCCCCCCAGGACAACGTCCCCAGCCCACGAGGAGAGGAGGAGCACTTCTCCCCCACAGCTTCTAGGCAGCCCTGCCCCTCCCTCAGACCTCCCCCCCAGGTCATCCTGCCTCTTCTCTCGGACCTCCAGGCAGCATTTCCCTTCTCAGCCTCCCTTGAGTGCTCAGCTGTCCCCAGACGCCCTTAGAGACCCTCGGATATCTCAATACATTACCTCCTCCTTTAGAGCGACTTCGTCTCCCGGTCCTACCCCAGTCCTCTATGCGACCCTGTCCTGCACCCCCAGGTATGGCTCCGCACCATCCCAAGTGTAGCCCCGCCCTCTGCCCAGGTGTAGCCCCGCCCTCTGCCCAGGTGTAGCCCCGCCCTCTGCCCAGGGGTGGCCCCGCCCTCCTCCCCTCCCCCCACCCCCGGTGTAGCCCCGCCCTCTGCCCCAGGTGAGGCCCCTGAACTCAGCTCACCAGGTGTGGCCCGGTCTCCCACCCTTTATTCTCCGCTCACCAGGTAGGCAGCGATGCCCGCACCAATGAGGAAGCCCGCATACACGTCCACCGGGTGGCTGCGGTACTGGGTGATCTGGGTGAGGCCGCAGACACCAGCAGCGATGGCAAAGGCGAACACCAGAATGGGCTTGAGCAGCTTCGTGGTGTCGGAGATGACGGAGTTGAAATACATCTGCGGCAGGAAGGCCGTCAGGGCCGTGGGCAGGGCCGTCAGGGCAGCGGGCACGGCCGTGGGGGGACGGGCAGTGCCGTCAGGTCAGAGGGCAGGGCCGTCAGATTAGCGGGCAGGGCCTTGGGGGGGAACGAGGGCGGGCAGCGCCATCGGGGCAGTGGACAGGGCCATGTTGGGGTGGGAAGTGCCATCATGGTTGGCTAGGGCAGTGGGCAGGGTGGGCAGCACCGTCAGGACAGCCGCAGGGCAGCAGCGGGCAGTGCAGGGGGCACTCACCGATATGTACACAGCAGCAAAGGCGGACAGTGTGGCATGTTGGGATGGGAAGGTCTTTCTGCAAAAGTTGGCACATGAGCCTGGCCAGCCAGCTACAAAATCACTTAGCCCGACCACCCACCACTTGGCTGGAGGAGGCCCAAGCCCAGACTCTCACCGGGCAGAGAGGATGGCATGCACGTCCGCGCCGGAGCAGATGTCCTGTGTGACATAGGGGTTGGCCTCGCACGACGTGCCCAGCAGCGTGTAGTTAGGTTTGCAGACGGTCAGGAAGAAGGGCGTGTGGTAGCCAGTGGCCAGCTGGATGACGTCGGTGACCAGGGCCGTGGCACACAGGCCGAACACGTGAACTCCTGTGAGCGGGGAGGGTCAGAGCCGGGCCTGCGGTGTCCCCACAAGGGTGCCCCGAGGGGCCGTCTCACCCCCACGGCCCCCCAGAACTCACCCACGAAGCGCACGGTGCGACGCAGGAAGGAGTTGAAGTTGCAGCCGCCTGCGTTGATGCTGCCCTCAGCGCCGCCCGTGGCCCCCGCGCGCCCCCACAGCTGGGACTGCAGGCAGTACAGCACGCCCTCCCCGAGCATGATCTAGGGCAGAGGGACCGCTGAGTGGGGCCGGCCGACAGGTGCCCGCGTGCCCACAGCCGCCCCCAGCCCGGGCACTCACGGAGGCGGCAGGGGCAGCGAAGGCCAGGCTGAGGAGCATGAGCAGGGGGATGAGCTCCTCGCTGGTCTCCACGTAGGGCATGGAGAGCGTGCGGTCGTAGCACTGGAAGCCCACCTTGGCCGGCTTGAAGAGATCCGTCAGCTCCAGGAAGTAGAGAGACACGATGGATGAGGCCACAATGGGCAGCTGTGGGGAGGGCAGCAGGCCAGCCCGTGAGCTCAGTCACCAGGGCCGACCCCACAGCCATTGTCCTCCAGCTCCCGCATCCGCACTGCTCAGGAGCTCGAGTCTCTCATTCTCTCTGTCCCCACATAACCTGTGCCTAGTCAGCAAGCACACAGCTGTCAGCCTTCGTACACACCACCTGCCATCCAGCTACTCACGGATCACCAGCCAGCCAGCCACACCTCCACCTGATGGGCACCTGTCCACCACCCACCATCACCACCACCACCAACAACAACCAATGTCCTCCATCTATGCCCGTCACATGTCTACACACCTGTTCACCGCATCCACCCATATCTGCCCATATACTCACCACACCTTCCCACCTGCTCATCACAACACACTTCCACACGCTCATCTGCCCTGTCCATCTGTCCACACGCTCATCTGCCCTGTCCATCTGTCCACACGCTCATCTGCCCTGTCCATCTGTCCACACACCTATTATAATTCATCCATTCATCACCCAAATGGTGAACGGATGCCTAAGCGAGGTGGGCTGATGGATAAGGTGGATAACTGGGTGAATCTTTTTTGAATTATATAAAATCTTTTAGCAAGGAGATTGCCAGATTTTACATTTCAGTCAAAAAGCTGCATGAACAGCTTTTCAAACGTGGGGAGGTAGCATTGTTCCTCTCCTTAAAGCCAGGCATTGGCTAATGGAGCTGCCTTCAGAGGTGAAGGAGAGCCTGAGCCGTGAGCCAAGCGGGCAGGGCCAGGCACCGAGTGGCGCACGCAGGAGGGCCAGTGCAGAGGCAGGGTCTGACAGCCGTGAGAATGAGGTAGACCGCCGAGGATGGAGCCAGCAGCACGCCCCTCTGCTCCTCCCTCCTGGAGGGTCTGCAAGTACCCCCTGGACTACCGCCACCCATTCTCGGTGTTTCCAGGGTTCCTCAGCAGAAGCAACACCCTTCGAGAACCCACGAGACCCAGAGCAAAAGTATGCAGACAGCGTCCAACAAAGTGCTCCACTGTTGTTCTTATGTGCTGTCGGCTTATAGCGACCCTGTGTACAACAGCCCTAAACGCTGCTCTGTCCTGTGCCAATCTCACTGCCTCTGACACACCCATCTCGATTACCCCAGTCACTGAATCAATCCACCTCATAGAGGGTCTTCTCCTCCTGCGCCGTCCCTCCACCCTCCCAAGCATGATGTCCCTCTCCAAGGACTGGTCCCTCCTTACAACATGTCCAAAGTATGTCAGATGAAGCCCTAGAATCCTTGCCTCCAAGGAGCAGCCTGATTTAAACCTCTCAGGGGTGAACTGTTTATTTTCTTGGCAGTCCATGGTACATTCAATACTTTTCTGTGGTGCTGGAGAAGAGTATTGAATGTACCATGGCATCAATCAACTCTCCTTCTATTCTTCCTAGTCATTGTCCAACTCTCTGATGCATAGCAAGTGATTGCAAAGACCATAGCCTGTATCAGATGCACCTTAGTCTCCAGAGAGACACCATTGCTCTTCAGTACCCTGGATAATCTTCAGTAGAATCTTGCTTGCATGTGAAATCAATGAGATTATTCTATGGTTTCCACACCCTGATGGGTTGCCCTTCTTTGGGATGGGAACAAATATAGACCTCTTCCAGTCAGTTGGCCAGGTGGTTGTTCTCCAGATTTCTTGGCACAACTTGGCGAGCACATCCAGGGCAGCACCTGTTAGCTGAAATACGTCAGTTGGGATGCCATCTATTCCTGGGGCCTTATTTTTTGCTATTTCTTTCAAAACTGCTTCCTTTATCACCATAGACTCTTGCTCCATTAAGTGTGTTTAAAAAGTGACACAGTAAAGGGATGCGACCCAAAACAGAGTTTCAGCTTCTCACATTTCAGTATGACCAAAAGCTAAAGTGCTGCTAACATGTGGTGCTGGTGCTGTAGTGACACAGACCCTCACGGTACACACACGTGCATGTGGTGACATAGACCCTCACGGTACACACATGTGTGTGTGGTGACATAGGCCATCATAGTACGCACACATGCGTGCGGTGATAGGCCATTACGGTACACACACGTGTGCATGGTGACATAGACCATCACAGTACGAACACGTGCGTGTGGTGACATAGACCATCACGGTACACACATTTGCACGCGGTGCAGACCATCACTGTATGCACACGTGGGTGCAGACCCTCACAGTATGCACACGTCCATGTGGTGACATAAACCCTCATGGTACGCACACATGCGCGCAGTGACATAGACCATCACGGTACAAACAAGTGAGTGGGTGAGAGAATCATGGTACACACATGTGGGTGTGGCAACAATCATGGTACACACGTGGGTGTGACATGCTCATGCTACAAACATGGGTGTGGCAACACACTGATGGTAGACACACATAGGTGTGACATGCTCATGGTACACACGTGCATGGTGACACTCTCACAGTACACACAGAGGAGTGGTGACTCGCTCATCGCACACACACCAGCACGGTGACATGCTCATGGCATATACATGGCAGGGTGACACACTCATGGTACACAAACAGGTGTGGTGAAGTGGTGACACGTTCATGGTACACACACATGCGTGGTGACAGCTCAGGGGACACATGCACATGCGTGATAAACTGCTCACGGGACACACACGTGTGGTGACAAGCTCACTATACACACATGGGCGTGGTGA